TTCATAGGGCTTTCTTGATTATCCCTAGGGTCTTTATTTATGTATTCAATTTCTTTGGTAATATACATAAAATATTTACGAGGGTTGTCCAAAAAAGTCGTCAAGATTTTGCTCTTATATCATTAATTTTTATGATTTCGGCATCAGATTTCACATGAATTATTTTGAACATTAATTGTTCACTTTTTAAAGATTGAATGAATTACACTGTAATGGTTTCATTTTTATGAATATTGCAAGAGTGTGAGTTTTGTCCCACCGGGGCACTTTTTAGGAGGCCTTTGCAAGTAATGCACCTTTGATGCCTTCTCACCCTGTCATGGCAATTTGTTCTACCGTGACTAGTGGAGTCCAGGTTTGGACTTGGAGCTATCATTAAGGGTCAGTTATCAATTTTTAATCCATTCTGCCACATTTTAATGTATGGTATATACTCCTTGTACTCTTTCATCATGGTAGCATGAGTGTGTGTGGCTGTGAGACCAAATTTGAATTAAACGTGGCAACTTATAGCAATGATTTCCTCTCAGCTCGGAGTTTTGCCGCCATTTTACAATTTCTCAACCGTGACTAAGTTTAATTTTGGGGCTATTGAACTGTTGCAATATAACATCACAATGCTAAATGTCATTATCTGTGCTTTGTGAACATCATGCTGGATTCTAATGATTTAAGAAGAAAGAAATATAAAAAGCTACAAAATAACACTTTCGACTTTTCATGGTCATTAGGAAATTTGGTATCTGCCCCGCCTATCCATACCCCTGCGTTGCTATATGAACCATTTTAAGACTTAACATTAATGTATGATGCTGAAATTTCAGGATATAATATAGAACACTTAAATCATAGTATACACACAATTTTAGCTGAATTAAAGAATATTTAAGAAAATCAGGGAACATTTTTTCAAGACGTTTTGGACAACCCTCGTAGTCTTACAATATCAACAGATCAGATGTCATAGTGCTAAAATGTCCTCTGATAGAGTTACTCGTCCCTAGGGTACCTCTTAACCAAATGGGAACTTAAAAACATAACTCTAAATCAAAATTCACTTTACCAATCTCGTCAAATACCTACAAATCATGAAAATCATAAATATTAAACCAAAATACACAATTAATCATAAAATCGTGGGTGTTTCGCGTATTTCAGTGACTTCCTTTAAAAAGCGTAACACGGTTTCATCAAAATCTTTAGAAATTATCAAATGTCAAAAATACATTAATGTTTTCACTGCTCAAATATGTATGAATAAAAATACATAGATCATTTACATTGCCTAACAGTCTATATCATACAATTATCTGTGATTTGGACAATAAATGTTACGAGCAGTTTAGGTTAGCAATGCAATTAATAGCAAATATATATTTAATTATAACATATATAGAGGATATCCTATGATTTATGAGTGATATGATTTTTATCCACGAATGGATATGATATCTGCACGAGCGAGCGTAGCGAGAGAGTGCAGATATCAATATCCATGAGTGGATTAAAATCATATCACGAGTAAATCATAGGATGTTCTTTTTATTCCATAGTTAAAGTCATCATCAGAATTGTCGGAAATTAAGTCATTTAATTCGTATGTTCCAAACGATCCGTCGATGTTGACACTTAGCCTCGTTTTGAGTCTGAAGTAGCAAAAATCCATTAACCATCGCATACAACGTCGTATGTCATGGCTAAAAAACCGTATGCTATGGTTAAGTGAAAATTTGTCAAAAATATCATATTTTACCACTGATTACAAAAATACCGTTTTTATTTTCACATGTTATCCAATGAATATCATGCTAACTATGGAATAAAACTATTTTTGTCTTATATGTTCCTTGTTTATGATAAAAATTACACACGCAGCTCTTTAATTAAATACCATCAAATGATTGTATGTATCTTTTGCTTGATGCTATACTTTCGGTTTGCAATTTTGACCATCTCTGTGTTATATTGCATGCCAACCAGCCATTTCGAAAGAATTTAAAAGAAATATGCTATGAATGAGGAATTGATCTTCACAGACTACAGTTACCTCACAAAACGTCTGAATTGGTCTCTATAATATTATGCATGGTGAAACAATAGAACTCGGGGGTCATACGATATTGAAGATATATTGAGACACTTTGCTATGTTGTGGCAATGATAGCAAGAGACAAATGGGTATGCCACGTTTAAAACCATTTCTGATTATTAAGGCACAATTGACCATAAAATGTATGCATCTGTTTTGCGAACGTAGTTATTTGACGAAATTGCGTTGGAAGATTTATGAAACACGAAAGATCGGAAGTGAGTATTAACAGATGAATCTTGCTTAAAATATAATTGCCAGCCTTTGTTCAGATAGAATACCTTAAATACAATTATTTCGTCGGAGTCTTTTTTCTTTTCAGTTCACAATTATTTATTTCTTTAAGAAATATTGGAGACAGTGTCTGACCTTGACCTTGACCTTTGTTGTTCCAAATCTTATTTTATGTTCCTGGGCAAGGAGGATTGGCTCCCAGAGTGCACCACCGATATTCTGTCCCATATATGGGTATGTCGTAATACAAAATTCGAATTCAAACAGCCGCCATTTTGTTCACTTCAACATTTAAATCGTGAATTTTGGTCTTATTTCCAAACGAAAAATTCCAAAACTCACAAGAAACGATCGAGATATTGGTTCGAATCTTTTGAACTGTTTATTTTAAATTTATAGTCGGTTTTAATTTCAGAAAATAACGACATTTCGACGTTTTCATTGTTGGAAAATATCGAGTTTCGATCCTGGGAGCCAATCCTCCTTGGTTCCTGGGGATAGAATGATTATGAAATCTATTTATTTTGTTGTCTATTTTCTGAGCAACATGACAACCCCCACATCAACAGTTATCTACATAACACGATACAATCAAATTTTGTCAATATTTCCTTTTGTAGTGATTGTAAGCGATATGAAGAATGAAACAGTTTTTCCATTATTTCAAAAATTGAAACCAATGGGTTCAACATTTGGACTATTCTCATATCACATTTCTTGAGCAAATAAGACTGCACAGACAAAAAGTATGTACTTTAGAATTTGATAGTAGGTACGCTAAAATGAATGACTGTGAAGTTCGAATGAATGTGAGGAAAATCCGACAAATGGGTTTCTTGTTATCATCATGATATTTAGTGAGATTTTAATAACTTCAAAAAAGAACCGGAGAAATAGTCGATAACCCCTAACATGCGAAAACATTTGAAGCAAATCCTGATCGTTTTTTCCTTCTATAGTATTGACGAAATTATTAGAAAACCCCGTAATATGGTAGCAAAAAAAAATTGGTACTATCTTGGATTTTTACGAAAATCCGATAAGCAGTTTTCCTGAAATCGCGCTGATATGTTTATGTTTCACAATCACGACCACTGAAATGACAAGCATCCTCATTGGTTGTAAATCAAAGCGATGCACTCAGCTCATCAATTCATACCCCCGCGATTGTGATTGGTCGATAAATGTTCTTGTCCGATGTCGATTGGTCAGCTACGCAGGTCTCAGCAAGATTGCGCATGTACGAGTTTGTACGTGAACTTAAACTCTTTACATTTTAATTGACTTGGAGATGCATTTACACTACACGAAATTAATGTTTATCAAAATGCCAATGATCATGTTATAGCTTTGCGGTTGGATGTGAGGTGTGTAAATCTATCAGAAAATAGTTTAAGTAATTCTGTATTGCCAAATATATCATATGTAGATAAAGCGGAGTATCCTTACGGGAATACTTATTGCAAAATAATTTCAAAAAGTAGGTTAAAAGGGATTTTTCTCTTCGGGGTCATTTTTCATTTTTCTCAAACTCAATCAGGTCACGACATTGCCATTTTGGGTAATTGTTTTGGCAAACTAGATACGCCCCTTACATAAGATTGCCAACCCTAGATCCCCTTTTGGATTGCGTGTATTGTTTTTCAAATTAGAGTAATTAATTGAATTTGCAATAAATATCCGAACTACTGTCATATGATAATGGAAGTTTAATGTACATCATCAAAGGCTTGACTTTGGAATACTTCCTGCCTTGCCGAAATTATAGAGACGAGTGTTAGGCTAATGGACAAGAAAGTTGTTTTGCAAAGAGCCATGCCCTTTAATAAGTTATGAGATGAAATATCATAACGACAGACTACTTCGATTTACTTTTTTTCACTGTGATTTGCTATTCTTATAATTCATACAATTATGTTTTTTATCAAATACTACCAAACTTTTAGTTGATGGTGAACGCTTCACACTAGGACAATTTTGGCTAGGCCTCATTCGAAGGTATTTGGACAATGAACACTCGAATTTAATGTCCAAAATGTGAGCATTGTATGGGGTCTAATTACACTTGTTTCAAATTGATCATTTCCTCATCGATTGTTATGTGTGTTTTTTTCAAACACATTTCTATGGTAACAAGGTGTTAATATTAGTCATTACGACTCTTGCATATATTATCTACATAAAGTTAATATATGTAATAAAAGGTGTAATTATTAGTAAATGGACACATTACCAGTTACCACTACCGAACATATTATGCTTTGGCACTCTTTGAAGACCCCCTCCCCCAAATAACTTTGGCAAGCGGAAGTTTTCATTTGATGACATACTTAAGGGTGTCAATGTTTGAATATTAATATTGTTGAATATTAAAATTGATGATTTTTTTTAAATCACAAAACATGAACAGTCTTTGATAAGTGATCGAAAAAAACTTCCGATTGCCAATCTCATGGAGGGGAGTGTATTTCTATTAGACATCTATTTGAGCTAGCTTTGCAAGATCGCGAGTTACAGATTATACGAATGTAAGCCGTGTAGGAAGAATAGTACGAAAGATTACAGCACATATGTAAGAATGTACTTCTTCTTAAATTTGATTGCTTTATTACATCCAATCAGCATTATTACCGATCGTGGTGCGAATACATCAATTAATTAAGTAGTGGCATTATAGGCATACTCAAACTACTCATAATGCATAATAATGGGAAATGACTAGTGGATTGTGTTTATCTATCGACAGGTGCCACTTCGTCTCTCCCACATTTATAAGGAGTATTTAAAAGAATTGTTTCAGTTACGAACTTTATTTACAATATAACGCACCAGCGGTATATTGCAGAGGTTGAGTTTGGACTAAAGGATATGAGAGTACGGTTCATGTGAAACGTCTATGCCGTAGGCATGTCGTCACAGAGCTAAACAATTCACACATGGAGGAACAACAAACATTTGACGCTATTAAGAAAACTTTAAATCAAGATAATTATCGCCCTGCATTAGGATAACTGCTTTTTTGAAAATGTATTTCATGTTGTTGAGACTATTAAGTTTGTGCGTGAGAAAGACACACCTAAAAAGGACCCTGTTCCTGTTGTTACTAATGGCACTCATGACAAACACTATGCCAGGTAAATATTTGTGTCACATATTATAGCCTTTAACATCTTTTTTAATGTTCGCAATTTTCTTTTTGATTTTTTAAAAACTCTGTGTAGATTTCAACACAGACTTAACAAACGCTATACCAGGTAAATATTTGTATCAAGTAGCCTATAACATATCTAATAATATGACACGTTTATTTTCATCTTTTTATAAAATATGTCTAGCCCTCAACACAGGGTTAAATTCTATGACTTTTGTTAAGAACTGGTAAGAAAAATCAAGTCTTCCTTATGTGAGTCGAACTCACGGCCCGTCATTTTTCGGCCAATAGCTAAGAATTAAATTATTGTACATGATCGAAAATTGATTTATTTCAAAGTATGAATCTACAATTAGAATATAATAGTAGCGAGTAACATTTAGATTATTGGCCTCTATACACATAACTATATTATGTATATAACTAAGGCTCATTATGAATACAAAGGAAAAATAATTGCACCTAAAATTGCAATGGACTGTAATTCGAAGGGTCTCCTATAAGCTGTTATATGTGCGGGTTGCGGAGAGATTTATATCGACCAAACAGGTGATTGTCTCCGTAACCGAATCCGAATACCCATAAAAAACATTTTATAAATGTGTTTAAACCAAAACTGAACAATAAATAAAAAACGTTACCAATAGTAACAAAACAAACATTAAATATATACAAAAATAAATTTATAACGTCGTAATGCGATTTCATGTACAGTTCTGGAGATTTAAAATGAAACGAGTAATAACTGAATTTCTTCTTCGTTTTCTTTATTTTCTTTAATAATTTCACAGGGTGCAGTCAGGGGTGACTGCAACCGCAGTAAAATTAAATAACTTCCTAACCATGGTGTTTTGGCTCTTCAAATTTAGCACAAACTGTCTTCATTCACTGCATAGTAAATCTGTAGAGTGAAATCAAAATCACTTCAGGGACTTTACAGCCATGGTCGAAATACTTTCAAATCGCAGTCAAACGCCCTGGTTCAGGCAGACTAAAGAAGGCATTTTGACCATGGCTGTAAAGTCCCTGGAGTAACTTTGATAAAACTCCACAAATTCACCACACAATGAATGAGGATAACACACTATGGTAAGAAAGAGTTGGTTTTATTGGTGTGGCAATCACCTATGACTGCGTTTTTCGTATTTTCCTAGTACGACTGTCTTTTGAGCAGGTGTCCAAGGCATCATGTTTTACAACTTACTAACAACAGGAGCTATACACACACAGTCTTTTCTTTCTTTTCCTGAAAAAGCGAACATAATTGAATTAGTAGTTTCTAAGACATAGTTATATTCCATTCGCGTTTTTCATATTTTCCTAGTACCACTGTCTTTTGAGCAATTGTCCAAGACATCATGTTTTACAACTAACTAACAACAAGAGCTATACATACACAGTCCCTCATTTCTATTCTGAAAATATGAACACAATATTCAGAATAATTATCAGCGACGATGTATGTTATCTTATAAAATAATAGGTTAAAACTCGGATCTTATGCAATAATCACCGACAATGCATTTATTGAGCCCTGGACTTAAAACGTCCAACCCGCTATGTTATTAATGAAAGAATTAACAGGGAGCGTGGCTTATTGTTAATGAAATAGTTCGACGCGAAAGTGTGAACGTAAGCAACAGATTATATTATCTGATGCAACTTACCCTGGGTGTAAGTCCTCGTTGTAAACAAGACCCTTACGCAATAAATGACAGACAACAATTTGAGTCTCTGGCCCAATTCCTCTATCATAACTATTTATTATAGTTTGAGTAGTAAAGGAATGGTAAAAATGGGCATTAAAGGTGTTTTAAAAGCACCATATCCCTGGGTAGATTTCTTTGTAATATTCTCGCAAGATATAACATAACTTTAAATGACTGTGTGGCTTTTAATCTAATCTAAATCCTTAGATTTATCTCTTGTCTCAAAGTAGCCCATAACTCCATCTTTATAATGACCACTGCACTTAGTGTGACATTAGTGATAAAGCATATTTTCCACTGAAGTGACACAACCCCCTGGTTCTGAAATGAGACCATTCATAAAGGCAAAGACAGTGTTACACAGCGTTTTATAATAATACCTAATAATAACAGCTTTAAAATAGAATATATTTGACAAAAGCAGTTGCTTTGCATTTTGTTTACCATCGATGAAGGTAAGCAATACATGTACGTCTTTTGTAGATGCCATATGTGTAGTAGTGTTTCCTTAATTAATCCTGGAAAGCAGACCAAAAGACCCCTCCTTGGAGGAGCCCTGTTTTCTGTTATGTGCACTCATACATAGGCATACGATGCACACCACAGCCTTTTGTATGAGTTCTTGACTACTTTATAGTCGTAGTTCTGTTTTTTAGTTTTTTCTTAACATTATTGTTCTAGTCTCTTTGTAGACTAGGATTGGTGATCTTTTCAATATTTTGTTTTAATCATGTTTATTGTCCAAAGCAATGAACATACCATTGATGGCGCACTAAAACCCAAGAGTGACATCCTATGTAAACCTCACGGTGGGTCAAAAAGGCAACGATTTTTTGAATAGGGCGAGTTATACGTACAGGATAGCGTTTAGTTTTGATTTTATATGCATCGCTTAAAGTGTCCAATATTTACGACATAATGTCGTAAATTCTCACTTGTTTTTTTAGTGGGCAGATTAAATTTGTGATTTTGATAATAATAAAAAAACGTATTTTTCCTGAAGGGTACTGGTGTCATTTAGTGAGTCAATATACACCCGCTGCGACGTTTAAACGGATTGGGTTGCTAATTAGGCATGTGCTGTATACGTTCTATCCTGAACGTAATCTGAATGCCTGATTAGTCTCAAAGGTTCCAAGTCTGCGCATGTCAATACAATTGTAAAATACGTAACCTTTCACTATACATAAACTTCGTATATTTGAAGATGTTGTTGACAGCGAATAATGAAAGGATGTGACTGGGCATGATGAATTGAAATTAAAATGGATGTTAAGCCGGATATGCCAGCGACGAGAGAAAATAACGAGGTGTCAAAATAACGACGTATTCTGACCCACGACATCCCTTTTCTCACATAGTCTAGGAATGTTACCACTAAGATGTGAGAAGTATGTGTCTAAGATTTAAGGGGGTTGTATTTAATTGCAAAGAATACATGTCTTAAGGAATCCCAAAGGAAATAATTTATTTACACTTCCCTCAATAAGATTGGCACCCGGGAGTACTTCTTCACTTATTAACGTCTGCTTATGTTCAAGGCAATTACAAAAGACATCAAATTTTAACTTATCAAAATCTGCCCATACCCGGCAATTACAAAAGATCGTCAATTTTCATATTTTTCCGAACTTTTGTTATTAAGTAACAAAATTCAAGATTCAAAGATTCAAACATTCACATGCTTTGATACGCAATGAAATTTTCCCGTTGCAAAACTTATAAGGGGAGTGTACGATTAAGATTAGCTTATATAGATGTGTTTATGTGTGATTAATTTGAATAAAAAGGTCCATTCGCACATGCGTTGTACTTATCAAATAACGTATACAACTGTGAACAAACATAGTTATAAAACCAAATTCGCCCACACATTAGCCTGTTGATTTGCTTATGTGGCAGAAGAACAATGGGTGGAACGTGATACCTACATCATTGACTGGGGTCCCCTTGGGCTTATTGTTATTTCGACGCACTGTTTTCAAAAGTGAACGTCACTCCACAGATACATAAAAATAGAACTATACAGTACGTATAAAAAAAATGCAACAGATTGTTATCTCGGAAAAGCACAAAACCAGTGATAACAGCATTGATTTCATTCAATGTACCATAAAGCCATGTGGGTCCTCTTTCTAATGGTATATCATTCCTTGATATTGGGTCATGGTTGGGCGAGTAATTATTCTTTAAGCAAAGTGGGCCAAAATTACCTTGGGGCCAAGTTATAAACATCCCAGAAGTCAGTGCACGGGGCCCATTGCAATTTTGGAAGAAAACATAAAACCAATGATGACTGCATCCTTTTCATTCAATTTACCAAAAACCCAAATTACTCCCCTTTACAATGGAATGTCATTCATTCACATGGAGTCATGGTTGTCCGAATAATCATTATTTTGTAAATTGGGGCAAAATTCAGCTCAGACCCAAGTTTTTATGGGATGTGTGAAACAGACTGTAAAGTGTTTATACTCATACTTTTGCAAGAATACATCCTATACCTCCTATACACTCCTATATTAAAAGATAGGTGTAACCTCTAAAAGTTAGTTTTACAGAAATTTACGATTTTTTGAAAAAGGTACTTCAAAACCACTTTTTGAAATCAAAATAAAAAGTTTCACATATGACACTTTGATAAAATTGGGTAAGACTACAATATAAGCCAAAGTGGTTTAAACTTTATGATGGGGTTTTCAAGGAAAATGGGTCTTATCACAGATTTTTTCAATATTCTGATTTTTTGATTATCTTAAAAAGCAAAGAGACCTTTCAAACGAGCCACGACTCATATTGAAATGTTTGCTTGCATATATAGACCAAAAAAATCGGATTTGAATTTAGCACATTTTCCTCCTAATCCTTGGCACATTTTTGGCTGTGTAGTACTTTGTAGTAATTTTTGTGATAAGACCGGTTTTCCTATGGCCAGGCTCATATGTGAAGCTTATATTTGAAATAATATGAAAAATGAAGAATGACAAAAGTATTTTGACAGTTTAGCGTATTAGCTTAGAAACACTTATCAGAGAACAATGCTAAATTAACGAACTGATTTATCATTGTTACAACTGGCGTGAATAATAATTCAGGTACTGAGCTGAAATCAGGCTTCCGTAAGTCGATAAAACGTAAGAAGACAATTGGTCCATTACTCACGCATTTGTCGAGGCGTGTTGATTTATAAAAGTATCGGAGTATTCGGGCGGCTCGCACCATATATGATGCCAATCAACTAGTTTCCATAGCGGATTCTTCCGTGTTCGTTAAT